TCATTCCTGAATCCTTATTTCTCATTCATCGCTTATTTTTTGAAATAATTTTTAAAGCCATGTTAGTCTAGAGATCATTAATTACTCTAGATTGTGAAAACTTTGACTAAGCTTGATTTTGAAAAGTATCGCATCTTATTGCAGTAATCTTCCTACTTATAGCCCTTCTTATGGAAATACAAGCCCAATTACCTCGCCAACTGAGAGGCGGTAAACAAAGCAATTGAAAATTGACTTTAAATATGGATATTAGCTATACGTCACATTGGATAATCAGTCCTTCTTTGGGTGTCTAAGTTTAAATCGTGTTTTCGCTTTTCGAAATATTGAGCTCTTGTGGTTCCGTAAAGGATGAGGTTCGAACTATCCGCAAACTTTTCTCTCTGCTGCTTAATTTGCTGATTACTCCTTTCAGTTTTCTTCGAAACATTTAAATCGCAAGAAGAACAGGTCTTCTCTTCATTATTCTATCGCCTCATTCATGTCACAAAGGTACCACGATAAATAACAGATCAATTAGCTAAGCACTGCATAACAAGTTTTGGCAGCCTTTAACCATTTTCGGCTTCACTCTTTCCACTGACTGATTTTCATCTTCATTGTGCTTTATTGCGTACTTATGCACAGTTATGTGCAAATCTCTTATAAAAAAAGGGTGACATAGGCTCGTGAATGCATAAACCTTTATAGAAAAAGATTTCTTTCAAGGAAAAGAGACAAATCCACGATTCTAACGCATCGTACAATGTTATTTACTTCTAATACATTCACCTCGGTGATATAAAGGTTGCACACCAATCATCTGCTATTCATCGCTCTATTTATTCATTTAAATGCACATAGATTGCGCCAATTGCAATAGAAATACAATAAGACATAGATCGAACTGTCGAAAAACAAAAGGATAAACTTTATCTCAAACTCTTCTTTGTTGACTACTATCCATTTATGTAAAAGAAAAAAACTCACAAAAAGCGCATTCTTTGATCTGTTACGCAAATATAGTTGATCATACAGAACACAAATTGACGGCAAGCACTCACGATACACAAGAAAACAAGTGTGATTTACTATTAGAATAGGGATTAAAACATAAGAGCATTTATTTAGATACTTAGATGGCCTCTTCTCTTAGGCCCCAGCCTTGTTTCCTTCGGTTTTTCTTCCTCGCTAGCGTCACCCACGGTGTTGGTATTGAACTGCACGGCGACGTTCGCAAGGTCCATAGTCGTTACCAGTTGAGAATCCAGCTTGTCCATCCATGCAACGAAGAACATAAGTTTCGCTTCATAATTTTGAAACTTCCTTGGGAACTACTGATGAAAGTGTTACATACCCGGGGGCACCAAGGAAGTCACATCTCCGGTCTAGTTCTTAGCCCCGAAACCGGTTATGTGGAAAATACTTTCCAAAAGTTGATTTAGACTTTGATTAATACTTCATACTTTTCATGAATAGATAATTGCATAATAACCTGTTTATAAGTGTAGACACTTAAAATGGGCGATAACTGCATGTTAAGGCGAGCAAAACCTCTTCCAAATTACGCTTGCATCGCTTCCAGGACGCTTGGTCTATAATCGAGAGGCTTTGTAAACAGTAACACTAGTTATGAGAAGGTAACAGAATCAAGGCCCATGCTTTTCGCAAAAAAGAGGTTCACTTAATCACTCAGAGTACATGCCAACTAAAGTTTGGCGCAGAAACAAAAACTAAAACCATTGTCCCATTGTTCGTAGAATCCTATACAA